CACCCCGGATGTGGCGGTCAGGGAAGAAAGTCCTGGCATGCAGCCTCTGGCACACGGAGGAGTTGCGGTACACTCACGCATCGTGTGCCTTGCCGGACCAGTCCACATTGATGTCCGTGAAATGGCCTCGGTGGTAAGACACAGCCTGCAGGATCACTGAGAAGTACCCCTTCCTGTTGATGAAGAGGGAGGCCTGGTGGTCCGGGACAAAGATGGGGATGTGCGTCCAGTCAATTGCCTCCCCGCAGTTGGGGAAGCCGAGGGCGCCGAACCCCTGGATGACCGCGTCCAGGTCGGTGAGGTGGATGACTCTGCGGAGCAGCACCCTGTTGATGGCCTTGACCACCTGCAGAGAGACACACAAAACCAGGCTCACTGGGGTGCCCAGGTGCCTGGGAGTGTTCGTTCCCCGCCACTGCCCCGCGTCCCACTCCCAGGAGCAACCCCCGCTGCAATCCTGGCCACCGCAGGCGGTCTGTAGCATGTCCGGGATGGACCGACCCCTCCCGGGGAGGGCACTTACACCACCTCCCCCCCATTTTCCCTGGGGCAGCCCACATCCTCCTTGCAGCCCCCTGTCCTGGCTCAGAGTACCTGCATGAGCACTGCTCCGACGGTGGATCTCCCCACGCTGAACTGGTTCCTGATGGATCGGTAGCTATCCGGAGTGGAGAGCTTCCAGAGGGCGATGGCCACCCGCTTCTGGAGGGGGATGGTGGGCCTCATGCGAGTGTCCCTTCTGCGCAGAGCAGGGGCGAGCCACTCGCAGAGCTCTAGGAAGGTGTCCTTCTTCATCCTGAAGTTCTGGGTCCACTGTTGGTCTCCCCAGCGCTCCAGGATGATGTGGTCCCACCAGTCGCTGCTGGTGTCCAGACGCCAGATGCTGCGGGGAACGCTGGCATCCAGGAGCTCCTGTGGCTCCTCTGTGGTGGAAGCAGGACTGCCAGGGGGCGCGAGGTCGGTGACTGCAGCTTTAAAAGCTGACAGGAGACAGGAACTGTAGAGTTGTGATGAGTGTGGTTGGAGTGGCCAGCAGGGCACCTGTATTATTTCCCGGAGGCCTCTTTTTTTGACAGAACTTCTTTTTCCATGTCCACACACGCCTTTTGCCAAAAAAGCTTTTTCAGAAAAAGCATTCTGCCTCATAGAAAGAGGTTTACTGCCGTCAGAGAAGTCCCTCCATTCTTTCGCCATTTTGTCAAAAGAACACAATAGCAGTGTGGATGCAAGTATTATTTTTTCCAGAATAATGGCAGTGTGGACG